AGGAGGACCATAGGCACAGTGCGAGCACTGCAGACACTCACAATCTAGGAGGTCCAAGGGCATGCTTAGGATTTTAAAGACTTTTGCAAATTTCAAAAATACAATTTCCCGTATTTTGAGAGGCAAATCACGGGGTTGAGAGAAATTGTCGCTTGTTCTTCAAATGTTTTAATATTTCTACTCAAGATTTTGGCTGATTTTGTCCATCGAGGTTGACAGATTGGTTTAAAATTTTTACAGTTCCCCCTCTGCTGCACACATGAATGCATCTTTTTTTCATGTTCTGTGCTACACTACTTTGTGAACTACAATGGACTTCAGGGGTTGGTGAGAAATACTGTGCCCTGCCCATAGCCAGCAGACTTTACCTCAGGGATAGCCAGCATGCCCAACAGTGTAGCTGTCAGCTGTTTCCTGATGGCATCTCCAGCCTTCTTCCCTGCACCTGACACCACCCCGCGCAGCGCCTGCAGGCTGGTCTCACGGATGGAGTTGTCATCTGCATTTTTCACCTGCAACAATGGAACCAGAAAGAGAATCAGAGATGAACATGCCGGATCATCCTGGGACATAAGTATACTGACTACACCTCGGGGCTGCGGATGTGTGCAAACTTGAAACACTTGAGAAGAGACGAGCGACCCTCTGCACTAAGTTTGCACACAGCATGACAACATCGGAGCGCACAGCTGATCTCCTCCCCAACACACGGCGACAGGAGCACGGCAGGAACCTCAGAAACTCAAAATGACTCTTGCACCTTGCTGCACTACTCGGTATCAAAACAGTACAATCTCTGTTAAGACAACTCAATATGAACAAATGTAAATTAACGAATAAATCAACTACACTCAGATGTCTAGTCGTTGTATTATTTCATTTTAACACACAGTGACTTTGTAATATTTTATGCTACACGTTGAAGTGAGTTGTGTGTCATTTTATATAAGTGAAACATATTTCAGCTAGATGGCTGCAATGTTTTACAGAATAAACTAATCATTCATTCATTGAATGATTCATTCATTAATTCATTGAATGATTCATTCATTCATTCATTGAAAGATTCATCAATTCATTCTTTGAATCTGTATCATTTTGTATCTGTATCAGATTCTGTATAGCCGGTATAACTGGCCTTCCGTGTAACACACCAGCTTCATGATTCATTCATTCATTGAATGATTCATTCATTCATTCATTCATTCATTCATTCATTCATTCATTCATTCATTCCATCATTCATTAATTCACTCATTCCATCATTCCTTCATTCATTCATTCACTCATTCCATCATTCATTCACTCATTCCATCATTCATTCATTCATTCACTCATTCCATCATTCATTCATTCACTCAATGACATTCACTCATTCCATCATTCATTCATTCATTCACTCACTCATTCATTCACCTGTGTGTGTAGCTCTGTGAAGAGTGGGTCCACCCTGGTGTGGATGACCACCAGTTTCTCCAGTGCGTGGGCAGCCTTCAGTCTGACGGCCCTGTTGGTGTCGTTCAGGGCCTTCAGAAACGTGGTCTGGAGCTGGGGGAGGAACGGCTTCAGCATCATGCCAACCTGGGAAGCAACAAAACATCATCCACATAAGTTTGCCTCATAAACTGTTACAGTATGATGGTATTCAAGATGATGGTATCTCTTTGGGTAATGTCAGAAAGTGCCAGTCTCAGACAAACCTGGGGCCACTCAAGGAAAGGAGTGAAAATGCTCCGGACTGAGTGAATGTAATGTCACTAAACTACACGTACACTCACAAACAAATGACTTGTTCATTACAATGTCATGTATCTTCAACAGTTACTGATTCAAATGTAAATATGACCTCAAATATAATTTCAGTTATAGGCACAGGCTAGTTGGGCTGCCCTGACTGTGAGGGTTGAACAAACAAAACCAATAAAATAAAAATTTGAGTTTAAAGCTTCTTTGAACAATTACTTACATCAGATATCCTTTAAGTCTTGTGTGAATAAGGTAATGTGTCTGTAATTCTCACAGGTTTGCCTACTTAAGTGATTACTAATAGTTATATTAATTACATAAATCCTGATGAAGGTGACAGTGGTCATTGACTTTGGAATAAAGCTTAGCACTGTACTATGATTTACTGCTAACACTATCAGCATGGATGAACTTCCCTCGTGATAATGTTGTATTTAGGCCACACCAATTTAATTTCTTGCAATTGGTTAACAGATTTTTCTAGAAAAATAATGGAGCGGGCGGGCGAAAAAAATAAAAAATAAAAACAGGCCTAGGCATCCTATTATGGCCCAAAATGGTACGATAGGAGCCATGAAGTCGACACACCAGGCTGGTTCAAAATTTAAACAATGAATTTTGAACTTTTAATGGTAGCACTGCATTGAAAGATGGAACAACTGTAACAAGTAGTAAGAAAAGGACTGTTTTCGACTGTTAAGGGCAAAATATGAGCATTTTGCAGTTGATTCTGAATTTTTATTTTTATTTACAAATCAGAAAAAAATGAAGAGGCGAATCCGTTCACCAAGAAATTAAATTGGTGTGGCCTTAGGTGTACTTACCTTCCCCAGCAGCAGCCCCAGAGTGTCCAGTACAGCTGCCTTGACATTCCAGCTGAACCTGTCTCCCAGGATGCGGATGAGGGGGCCGGTGATGTTGACTACGGAGGGTTTGAGGGCCTCAGCGCTGGTTCTCCTGATGACCTCTCCCAGCCCTAACGCTGCCTGTTCCTTCAGCTCTGGGGACCCGTTCAGTATCCCCTCCCTGAACACTGGCAGGATGGGGGTAATACCCTGCAACACCACAGTCACACAAAATCATCATCAGGACATTATAACAGAGAGTGCTGCCTTGCCAGTGTGGCCCTGCTAAACAGAGTTGCCTGGAGGTGCAAAGACTAGCTGACTGCTGCCCACCTGTGTCAGGGACCCCCCATAGCAGTCAAAGACTAGTAGAATGATACTACTACAGGTCCTTGGAATCCTCTATCTCAGATGTCTCAAATGCGATGTCGCTGATGTAATGACGAAAATGTGCCAAGAAATGGTAATATTATAGACTAAGTACAGCTTTCCTCATTCAGAATTTTTTTATCATTTCATGTCTTTGACCTTCACCCAGGACTTGAGTGAGCCCACTCTCTATGGCTGTTTTGTTGACAGAGAGACATATCATAGTGCTGTGATGAGGATGTCAGTGTGCTCTTTACACCATACATACCTTTCTTAAGTATTTATTTATTGTAGATTTTTTGTTATGATCATTTGTCTGAATTTCTTTCTTATTCTGCACAGGAAGTTATTACCTCAATCTGTCAGCTACATGTACATGTAGGCTATTGAAACAGTGATGGCCACTAAACTATGCTAAACACTAACAATCATGTCAAAACAAAGAATATTTGGCATGATGAATACTGTTGTAGACAATTTAAATTTCTTGGTACTGACAAGCTATATGAGATACTGTAGTACAGTGTAGTACTATAGTCACTGTGGCACTGACCAAGATGATTGGTTCAAACTGACCTTTTTGGGCAGACAGAAGCCAGGCAGCTCCTGTTCCCTGCAGTCCTGTACAGAGTAGCGCACGGCTTGTCTCACACTGGGCAAGTGCTGCTGCAGGGCCGCCGCATCCAGTCTCTACAAAAACAGGACAATTGTACATGTATGTTTGTACAGAATAATGTCTGAGGAGTTCTAGGAACAAAGAATGAAATAACAGGAGCAATTATTACTTGCTAAACAAATTAAAATTGAGGTTGGCAAGGCGTTAGTATATATGGAGTACATGCGTTTAGAAGACAATTGGTGGTGAGTCTGAAAAATTCACTGTCCTGCTGCAATATTTATCATCATCTACATGTAATTATCATCCAATTTGGTCAACCGTATTGGTTGGGGTTACCGCCCTTTACCAGGTGATGTACAGTACTACATCGTAACTTAGGAGAAGATGGGGTACGCCAAGCCGACATCCGGGTGAACAGAATTTACAGTTTGTGGCTGATACAGGATATTTGGGTATGCTACATGTAGGCCTCTGTCTGGGTACCGGTAATTTGTAGTGAATCACCAACCCCAGATAGTAGGATTTTGGACCATTGGGCATCATCAGGGCATGCCCTTACTTAGTGCTGCATACCTAAACCCACATTTAGGTTCAAGTCCGGATTCAAGTCCAGAGGTTTAGGTTCAGTTCCGGACTTGTAAGTCCGGACCTAAACCTATGGCATATACAAAATTGCATGTTGGCAACCCTGCAATGTTGTCTGGGTGAAGTTTGGCCACATAACATGGAGGCCGACACTTGACAATGCCCAATGGCAATGTTTTCTTCATTTTGCAGCAAAGTTTTTGCAATCTACGGAAGGTTTTAAGTGGTTTGCAAAGAAAAGGGGTAATGTGAAATGGTCTTTTATGGTGATAAGTCCGGACACGGTTCTTGACTTTTAGTTTTTTTTTTACTTGAAGAAGCTGAACCTTAACATTCTTACAAGTCCAGATCCAAGTCCAGTGAACCGGTACGCAGCACTACACTTACTCTTTTAAAATGTTTTTACAAAGGCAATTAGTATGTTTTTGAACTTCAAGGCAATTATTATTACTTTGTTCAAAGACCAACCTTCACAACAGCGTTGAGGGCCTCCCAGCTCTGAACCAACACATCCTGGTCCTGGTCGTTAAACAGCTCTATGAGCCCCCGCAGCAGCTGGGGGACGTACTCCGAGTAGTCTGCCTTGATCTGGCTGCAGTAACAGTTCAGGATGGTGACTGCAGCCAGCCGCATGCTGGGCTCTCCACTCTTGGTGGCACTCAGAAGTTCCTCAATCACAACTCCCACTCCCAGGTCATAGTCTACTGACAGAACCAGGGTCTGGCAGTGCTCTAGTTCCTGGGGAAAAAATAATACAAGAGACACAATTTATTCCTCAGTCTGTGAATCGTATAATGGGTATGGTGCATATGATATTAGTCATGCAGATTTGTGCACATTTCAATTTTATAATTTGTAAAAATACTAAATCTAAATTTAATAAAACAAGCAATGTGGCCATTTTGTAATAATTTTTCTCAAGACCTATAATATAATTGAGCACTTTCTTCAAGCAAAGAAAGGACCAGCTGCTGTATACAGGTACAATGTAATTATCAGGAAGATTTTATATTATTATAATGGCAAGACATCTCGGCATGAATAAAGTTTACCCCCCCCCCTCCGAAAATGAGGTCAGTCAATGCAACATGACCAGGTGTCTTCCAAATTGCAATAATTCTGTATCATGCCAATATTCAAATGAAGGACTAGTGAGAAAATACAACATGTCATCCATAATTATTGGCATGTAACAGAAAGAAATAATGGTTTATGCTTTGTCAGATTGGTATCATTTGACCTTTACATAATACCTCGGTGAAGCGACATATGAAAAATGAACTGACACCACTGGTATATATATTACCCATATGTGTATGTCACTTATTAATAAATCAGATTTTCAGTGTGTTCAAGTCTCACTAAGAGTGTCACAAACATGTTCATGGTGTAGAAAAACATTGAGACAACCTTAACCAGGACTCGAAATTCATTTTTGGGAATAGGTGCACTGGTGCACCCAACCTAAAAAATTGGGTGCACAAAAATTATTTTGGGTGGACCATATAAAATGAAATAAGTATAATGTCAGCAAAAACTAATTGTATGTTTCATTTCTAAAGAAAAGTACTACAACAACAATTATAATTTTATTATTTTTCTGATACTTGGATGTTATTAATAAGAATACGCTGTATACTAAATTACATTTAACATCTTTTTTTATTCTTTACATTGAACGAAAACCTAAGAAAGTATTTGGGTGCACTGGTGCACCCACAGAAAAAATTGGGTGCACAGCTCCAAATTTGGGTGCACTAAGGTGCACATGCACCCAGTATTTCGGGCCCTGCTAACCAAAAGAGGAGATTTAGGATTCCCTGCTCACCTGATTTTCTTCATCCGTTCCTCTCTTCTGACTGAGTGCGCTCAGTAGTGCCGGGAGGATGCGGCTGAGGTGTTTAGTAAGGGACTCTCCTGCCACAGAGGACAGGAAGGCCAGCGCCTTGGTGTTGACTGGGGGTGAGGTCAGCTACAAACACAGAAAAAATTATACCGGTAGCATCAAAGGTGTAACAAATTACTACAAGTTGAACATACAATAAACCAGAATTGTGTGTTTCTGTGCAGTCTATTTTATATAAAAATGCATGACTTAATCATGTACATGTACATAAAAAGCTATAACACCATTATAGTGACAATAGTGTACATTGTACAAATTCAGTCATGTGATTAATATTAATTTGATAATAATAAATATGATCATATAAAAACTTGCAAGCTGATTCTGAAACCTCATCACAAGGTCAGAGCGGTATTGTCGATGAAGGATCATGACAGATTAAAATTGTGTGCATTAAATGTATGAAGCTGAAATTTACAATGTAGACTAAAGTGAACACAGGCAATGGGCCTGCTCATCATCTGACAAGTTTGTGTAGTAAAGTGTATTTTCTATAGTGTCGTATTTTACATTGTCTTCTTCCACAATGCTGCATACATTTGTATTACAATTAGGTCACACCGACTTAATTTTATGGATGACATCCACGTGCACATTGATTTTTGCCTGTTCCGTCCTCCGAGGCTCTGGCCTGGGTAGTCCATGGTAGTTAGCGACAATACGAAGCCGGTGGTAACTCTGATAATGGCACCCAGGCTGCCGATGCTCCACAACTCAAGAACTCAGTACATACATTGTATGTACAGTGCTGATTTACAAAGCCAGCATGTGCTGGCTTGTATACGTCGCTATGTACTGCCGCAAATTATACCAGCTTTGCATTCCTTTGGTTTAGTTGCATTTTTAATTTTGTCCGGAATTTTTTTTATTCGCCCGCGCGCACTAGTTTGGGGGTCTTCAGGGGATGTCATCCATACAATTACGTCGGTGTGGCCTTAAGAGTAAAAAATCAATCTACCAAATTGAATGCATGTATGTAACCTGAAATCAACAAACATTGAAATTGACCATCTGAGTCATTCATGTACTTAGACTGTTGTACTGTACTTAATATCATTACTGACCTGAGGCACCAGGTAAGGTAGGACGACCCTACTCTTCACAGCCATCACCTGTTTCAGACCATCCAGGGCAAACTCTGATGTGTCAGGATCATCCTGTGGATGGAAAATAACCCAAATCTGTAGTCATCTTATATCAGAACTCCAGACAGATGGAGGTTAAAGTTTGTAGGCTGTCTATGCTACACCATACAGTAAGTATCAACTTAAATATAACAAATATTGACCATTCACTACTAATACTAGTACATATATCAGGGTAGAGATTCGGATCTAGTAGAATTGGCTACAGTACAGATCCCAATGGACCTATACCATTATTACGTCACAGTTTGTTTACCTGTTCTAAAGAACTTTCTAGAACGGTCAGTTAAAGAAGATCATTTCAAAGTTTTCAAAGTCAGGTATGTTTGATTTTTGCTGCGTCTAGTTTTGTTGACACAGCATTACATGCCGCATGGGTGATTTAGTTGTGACATTAGACGAAAGTAGTACTGTATAAAAGCCTTATATTAGGCTAAGGCTACACAAACACACACACCGCGCTACACACCCCTGTACAATATAAATGTCGATTGACCGGCATTCATTGCGGTAAACAAACTGTGACGTAATAATGGTATAGGTCCATTGGAGTCTTTGACAGAGACTCAAACCAGGATACCGTTAATGTGTTAAGGATGGTTTTCCATTATTATTAACCCTAAATTTAAAGTCAATCTATTGAATCCATTGAATTTTAGTTGAAAACATGTCTTTTTAATTCCAATGGGGATCTCTATCAATTGATAAAATAATATTATTGTTGATTCTGCCAGCAGAGATTCTGATTGGAGTTTCTGCTGACATAGACTCTGATTGGGATCTCTACTGGTAGAACTACTGATTCTACCAGTCTGAGATCAGTATCAGTCTCTACCCTGACATATTATATATCTTTGAGTTGAAGTTTGTCATGTACAAATGTAACTACAAATCTTACCAGCTGCTTCAGGAGGAAAGGTAGAATGTCGTCCAGAGTCCTGGCTCCTACTGTGGAATGCAGACTGTCAAACGTCTTGGACGCCGCTTCTCTCACCTCTGGCAGGGGGTCACACAGGCCCTTCCTGATGGTGGGAACCAGGCTGTCTACAAACACTATCACCTGTAGGGACAGAACAGCTCTATCTCAGACATACATGTTCACCAGGCTGTCTACAAACACTATCACCTGTAGGGACAGAACAGTTCTATCTCAGACATACTTGTTCACCAGGCTGTCTACAAACACTATCACCTGTAGGGACAGAACAGTTCTATCTCAGACATACATGTTCACCAGGCTGTCTACAAACACTATCACCTGTAGGGACAGAACAGTTCTATCTCAGACATACATGTTCACCAGGCTGTCTACAAACACTATCACCTGTAGGGACAGAACAGTTCTATCTCAGACATACATGTTCACCAGGCTGTCTACAAACACTATCACCTGTAGGGACATGTCCCTACAAGTGATAGAACAGTTCTATCGCAAACTTCACAATGGGCTATTATAATAGTCCATCAGAAACGTCATTCTTTTGACTGGCTGCTTGCTACATTTTGTACTTTGCTTAATTCGTGAAATGAAGGATAAAAATCATCCCTAAACCTTGGAATTGCAACCAGGAGAAGCAGACTAAAACAGCAATAACTAAAACTATGAGAAGATACATGTAGGTCTGGATGGAAAGAAGGAAAGATCATGGACGGGATAAAACTAAGAAATCTGTAAGCTGCTGAAGGAGCAAACTTTATCTGCTGTAAGTAAATAATTATAATTAAAATAGAAATTTTTCTTAATACTGTGTTTTAAATTTGTTTTACCTGTCAGAATTTTGGCATCCAAACTACTTCCTTTATGATCCCTCTGCCTCCAATATGCATCACTCATATTTAGCTATTTGGGCACTAGGACCTCAAGTAGATGCCAGAGGTCATCTGTTGTATCGACATCACAAGTAGCTGTGGTGTTGGAGCCCACGTACTCGAGCACATCTGAATTTTAAATGTTGTCCATGATATGCGTTGAGTTAGAGTGCAGATAATTGTAGCTACATGTATTTTGGCAGTAGATCAAATAAGTTACATGATTGTACTAACTAGATGCACTATTAAAGCATGACCCCTGACCTCAGGTAACCCAGAGGTCATCTGTTGTATCGACATCACAAGTAGCTGTAGGGTGCAGATAATTGTAGCTATTTTGGCGCTAGATCAAATAAGTTAATTAGATGCATGAAGCATGACCCCTGACCTCAGGTAACCCAGAGGTCATCTTTTGTATATTTGACATCACAAGTCTATCATGTGTATTTTGTACATTTTAAGTGTTTTGGGTTTGTCTTTCTGTTGTTTCGTCATCATCATTAATCATCCTCTGAAGAGGTGGAGCATCTGTAGTTAAACAATCACTTAACTTAAAAAAAAAAGCAAAATTAAATCAATCTTTAAATTTCTGTACACTTCTCAAATAATTTACTTACAAATGTTTCTCCATGTACATGTAAGATTATCATAATACAGTAACAGTTACTGTAATTCCTGATTGTTTCACGGTACTGTTATGTTCACTGTTTTTACCGTCACTTCTGTACCAGAAAATTAATCGTTACAGTTAACAAATAATTCCTGGAGTCACTTTCTTTTTCCTGCACTTGTCCATTTTTCTCAGACCATGATCTTTTGCTAACTGTAAAGTTTTAACATAAATTAGTGAATTACAGAGAGTAGCAAAAAAAGAGATTGCCAAACTTCTCTGATATGCGGTGACGGGGCTGGTAAGGTATTTCTGTTGTTTGGAAAATGTTTATTACATGTGGAAGGTGGGCTAACATAATCATGAATTATTCATCAAATTATGATCTCTGGATGCCCAGAAGATCTACTTGCTAACTCCGCGCCACTCTACATGGGAAGCTCTTCCGCTCACAGGTCTTTCAAACATACAGCAGATTTGTTTTGAACAGACAGTTTTCAAAGCTGTGACAGGTGGGTAACTCTGTGGTATCTTCAGAATTTTCTATTCTGCTTTAATTTGCACTCACATGCAAGCGATCACTGTAAGCAACAGTTAGTTTTTTTTATATAATTTCATATATTCATGTGATTGTGAAGAGAATTCATTAAATAGCAGGCAAGTGTACCATCAAGAACGCCCCAGTTAATGTACAATGTATCTCTACAGTGATAGCAGTGCACACATGGTCCTTTCTTGGCCTGTAAACAATTTTCCTGATTTCCAGGTTCCACCATGGCAATTGTTGTGTGATGTCCTACTGGACAGTGAAGACTGAAAAGAACCAATCTTTACCACGATGGTGACTGCTGGGGAGTACGTTCTTGTTGTGGTCAATGGAAGTAAGTACAAGTTTTTGCCTTCTGTTTTCTTGTAACATTAGGATGTCCTCATTACTTAGTTTTCTCCTTCTTGCATTCACATTTCTCTTTTAAATTTAATAAAATCTATCCCTGCAAAGAACCACACGGAAAAGCACACAGGCAAAAAAAGACTTGAATGTCACAAATACAGCCTGTCAGGAACAGCGCTACTCAGCTAGACCTTTAAAACCACTGTGACAATATTGAATATTGAAAATGTCCAATTTTTTCCCTACTAACAGCTGCCACGCCACACGTCATAATAAATCAAACATCTTTTGAACGACTTTGCAGTTTGAATTGCTCCATGATAGGAAACTCTTTTTACAAGACAGTTTGGATTTTCACAGCTGTGTTAAGCTTGATTGGCATCACTTTAATTTATCAACTTTGAAGATTCAATTTGCATTTATATGTTTCTGACATAGTACATCTAAAAATATAGTTACAGTAAAAGTTAATATGTATCGGCAAAAATTAGAATCTTTGCATAGTTTTCTAGATTTCCTCTTGGTTTGAAGTCTGCAAGAAATCAAAGATGTCATTGAGAATTAGGAAATTGCACAAAAATCACATTGTGTATAAAAATGTTGATTGGAAAATGAAACGCCAAAGGTTCAAAATTTTATCACTGACAGTAAGGAACAAGAATTCAGAGATCTCATACCTCCATGAAATATTGAGTTTATGTAAATGTTTTTTATTTGTCTCATTGACTATGCATATATGGAAATAAGGTCATAATTAGCATAATCTAGTTTGATTTATGGTTTTCTAAATTCAAATGACAATATTTTTCGTGTAAAATTCCTCTCCTTTGTCATACTTCATTTCAACATGTCATGAATTATGCAAATGACATCTACATTAACATAATATATGCATAGTGGTGTTAACCTATAAGTAACTTACACATGTCACAAGGTATAAAATTCCCATCATTCATCAATAAGGAGTTACGGTCTCGGACCGGAGTTTTTTTCACGATTTTGGATCCGGCGGACACCCTCAGACCGAAGGGCTATAACTCCGCCAAAAAAAGGACGCCGGGAAATCTCATTACATCAGTCAACGGAGGTTTCCAGCCGGCTTCCGATACAATTTTGGTTATTGTCCGTCGACTCTATAATTTGGGTAGAAACTGTAGTTAAACGTAAATTTTGGATACGAAAAATGTATTTATTTTGCAGTTTTTTCAACGGACCTGCTTGGAAAAAACGAATTTTCCCAGGCTAACGGATTATATGCTGAAATAGCTTACTACTTACTGTTTCTGAAAAACAGAAAAAAATATAGGTTGTTGCGATAAGTTTTTCGCAAAATCCGGTGACGCGAACCCCTGGAAATTCCACATAGAACGCAGCTATTTGGGTCATCAGGCGACAAACCGCA